CGATGTGAGATGTGAGCGAGTGAGGATGAAAGCAAACAGCCTCATTTTGCTAGGAATCCACCTTAATGTTTTTATGGGGAGAGGAGGAAGGGCTAAACAATGGCTCATTTAATGAACACGCGAGTCCCACAGGTTTAGAATCAAAGTAGAGATAATAAACCCTGTAATTAAACTTATGCAGAACCTTTTAGTATGGAATCTATTTTTGAAAACTCACTTCAAAACCCAGGACACTGGGAACATGTGCCGTCTCAATTTCCTCTCCACTAAAACCTATTTTGGCTCCATTTTTTAGGGTTTTTTCCCCTCTCGAGTTCCTGTACAGCAGATGACTCAGTCATCAACGCTTCACAGCCATCACTTCGCAGCGTTTTGATTAAGTATGCCAAATGTCGTGTAGAGGAAAGAATGGAAACACCAAGCCTGCCAGCTTTTGATTGACCATTAAAGCCAATGATATATGTGCCTGTCAAAAGACAGACAATTAAATCAATATTGGAAAAAAGTCGCCTTGACGGCTTGTTTTTATGTAAGGGCTGCCAGGATGGATTACCAGGCACCATCATGCCCTTGTCAACTTTCAAACCTTTTATTAAAAAAAAAAAAAAAGGCAGTATTTAAAGTTGCAGTACCTCATTCCCTCAGCATTTTGTTTGTCCTTGGAAATGCTCTCTGCAACGAGCTGGGAAAGTTCTCAAGTGCCCAGGAGTGAGTTCCCACACACAGCCCTGCACCGTCTATGATGAAACACCCTCCGACCGTAAAAGCCCACAGCCCTCTCTCACTTCCAGCCGAGCCAGCAGCAGACAGCCTCGCAGAAGCAACCCTGTGGCAGCAGCTGCTGTCCATGACACACCTGGACACCCCTTATTCCCCCATGACCTGAAGTTCTGCAAGAAGAAATGGACCCTGCCCAGTCCCCCACCCCCAACCGTGGCGGGTATCTCTGCCAGACAACGGCTAGGAATGGCCAACAACCCACCCTCCTCGCAGGGGTCATGCCCTGCCTGGCGTGTCAGAGGAGCACCCACAGAGAGGTACCCATGTGCACAGAATGGCACACACGCCACGCTGCAACTCAGCTGCACCCCAGTTCTGAACTGCACAGCTCAGGAGCCACAGGCTGGAAACACACAAAACGTCCTTCACATTATTTCTCTACCCGAAACATTCAGCGAGCCCTCATGGGCTAAACCCACCGGTAAGCAGGTTCCCCCCTCTGCCCCACAGCCTGGGTGTGCCACCCCGGGACGAGACTGCAGTGGGGTACACAGACAAGCCACGGCCCAGAGCAAGGCCCGGCCCTGACCACTCCAGGCTTCAGGCAGCGGATCAGGGGGCGAGCCGAGTGAAGGGATGCTGCAGCTGAAAAACTTCTGAGACAAAATTAAAATGGAGCAGGAAAAAGGAGGAGCAAGAGAGCAAAGTTGCCCTGATCGTGGCAGGGCTGTCAGGAGCATGTGTGTTTCCATGGTGAGTGATTTATTGATGTTTATCAGGAATGAATAGATCAAAGGCTGCCAGATGACAGGCGATCAATCACACATCAAATCAAGGATGGCAATCCTCTAATAAAACAGAAAACAAGGAAAACCAGCTCCTGCCAGTTCCTCCTCCAGAGAAAAATAACTTTTCTGTTCAATCAGATTCTGCACTATCACTGTCTTGTGCTGGCCTGATCAAAAGACGGCTGGAGAGCTAATACAAAAATAAATAAATAAAACATAAAGAAGAGAAGCCTCCCGCACAAGACAGTCAAGGCTGTGATTTTCCAGAGAAATCCGTGGCCCACATTCTTGGCGTCCCAGCCTGGTGACCTTAGATCCAAGTGTCAGGTTCAACCTCTCTGCCTTCTGGAAGACTTTTCCGGGTGCTTGGCCGCCACCAAGGAACCACCACTTCCCTTCAGAGCACGCCCCCTCCCGAGGTGGCCGGCAAGCATCGCCCCCCCCCAACGGGCCTGCCTCTACTGCGTCCCGAGCGCCCGAGAAGCACCTCCAAGTTTTCTCCACTCCACGCACCCGGCCCGGTCGCGGGGCTCAGGAGCACAGGGGTGGCCAGCCCGGGGCGGCCGTGGCCTGCGCCGGGCGGCAGCGTGCGGCCCGCACCCCGCGGCCCACGCCCCACACCGCGCCCCCGGGCCGCCACCCCGCTCCCGCCCCAGCCTCCTCGGGCTGCTGCTCGTCCCGGCGCCCGCTCCCCACGGCGCGGCCCGGGCGCCCGTTACCTGCCGAGCGCCGGGGGGCCTGCTGCTTCCTCCTCGGCATGCTGCTCGGGCCGCCGCAGCCGTCGCCTCAGCCGCCTCCGGAGTTCGCGGGGGCGCGGGCACGCGGGGCCCCGGGCGCGGGCGCAACTCCGCGGCGCGCCCAACTTTGGCCTCGTCCCCGCGGGCTCCGGGCTCCGGGCGCGCCGCGGACCGCGGGAGGAGGAGCCGCTCGCATGGACCGCCGCGCCCGGGGCCGCTCAGGAGGCGGCGGCGGCGGCCGCGCGGGCCGCGTCCGGGCCGCCGGGCTGCGGGCGGAGCGCGCGGGGCCTGGGCGCCGAGCCCGGAGTCATCCCCGGCGCGGGCCGCGGGCGCAGCGGCGGGCGCTCGGCGGGCCGGCCCGCGGCCCGCGCTCCATGCTGCCGCCTCCCCGGCGCCGCGCTGCTGCTGCCGGGCGCTCCTCGGGGCGCGCCGCTCCGGGCGCTGCCCTGCGCCTTCCGCGGCGAGCCGAGAGTCTCCGAGCGCAACTTTCCGTGCCCCTGTGCGCTCGCTGTTCGGGGGTCGCGGCGAGTGCTTTTAGTGCGCGGGTCGTAGCTCTCTCATTGTGCGCCAGCGAGGCCGATGCGGGCTGTCCTTTCCTCGCGCACTTAGTCTAGGAGGAAGAAAGCAAACAAGACAGAGCGGTGAAGCCCCCGTTCAGTCGCGCGCCGGGGTAGGTGGGTGGGTGGGTTGGGGGGGAGATGTCAGGCGCTGTTCCACCTTCCCAACAGTCACAGATCAAACAGTGTCACCCGCCGGAGCGCCACTTGGTGCCCGGCGCTGCCCCCCGGGGGGCCTGGCCGCCGCGGTCTCCGCTTCTTCCAACGCGAAATCTTAATGCAAACACGTTCGGATCAGGGGGTTGGGACCGGTCTTGATCTTCCAACAGAAAAAAAATGTTGAAAAATACACAAAAAGCATCCCCCCGTCCAAGATTTAAAAAAAAAATAGGAAAAGAAAAAAATAAAAGCCGACCACAACAACCAGGAGAGTGTGTGCACAGGGGCGAGGCGCGGGCGTTCGCGGGCGGGCGCGCCGAGCGTGGACACTGCCCCCCCAAACTCCGGGGAGAGAGAGATGCACTCTCGCTCTCTCCTCTTTTCAGTGAAATATAACACACATTCGGATCGCAGAGCTCTCAGACAGTCTCAACTGATAGACAGACACATCGAGCTGCTTTTCCTGCCTCAGTTCTTACTCCTCCTCCTCGCGCCAACGTCACCCTGACAATTACAAATAGGTCTCACACAAGCCATACCTGTCAATCTTTTTAATTGCTTTGTTTTCTTTTTTTTTTTTTTTGCCAGAGCTAAACAATATGACACACACGCGCGCGCGCAAAAAGAAATCTTAATACGGCATACCATAAAGGGAGGAAGACATTCAGGGGGTGCTATTGTCATCCGCCGGCCGGGACTGGGGACGGCCCTCGTGTCCCCAGTCAAGTTAGGCAGGCAAGGGCTCCTGCTCGCCCTCCCCCCGCCGGTGCATTCCCACACAGACACCCACGTGGACCCGGCGCCCCGAGCAAGCGTGCCCCGCGCGTGGAGGCAGGAAGTACCGGGACCCTCCTGCCGGCTCACTCGGGGGGCTGGGGGTGAGGTTTGGTTGCAAGGTGTTGACTTTTGTGTTGGGGCCGTTCCTGAGCAGGTGGAGAACCAGGGATTGCTGTGGTCAAACACACACCCCTCGCATTGGAATTTCAAAGTGCATTTGGCGCCTCTCACCCGTCCCCCTCCATGCCAGGAGCACAGTCGCACGCGGAATTCGGGAGGAGCAGTGAACCGCGGAGTCACATTTCTACCCATCTGGGCTACAATATAAGGGCTTCCTGCAACGTCCCCCGCTCAACAGGGTCTCGTGGAACTCAGGCCCTCGGCTTTCCCATCGAAGTGCGTGCTCCCAGGGGGAAGCCCGCACCAGCCCCGTAGAGCTACTGAGAACACGCGCGGAAGATAAAATAAAATCAAAACACAACCTCTAGGCCAAGACAAATAAAACGGCTTAGTTCCTGCAACTTGCACGGGACAGGGCGCGGGCAGGGCGTTAGGGGGTGGGGGGCTCACAGGAGGCCGCGATCGCGGGTGGCGGGGAGCCCCGGGGTCTCCCCGCCCCGCGCTGGGCGCCCGTGCGTGCGCACCGCCGGCGTGGGCTCCGCGCCCGGCCCAGGGCCCTCGGCCATGCCCCGCCGCCCCGGCCGCGCTCGGGGTTGATTCGTACCACCTTGCAAGGAAGTGAACGCTTCGCACGGGAAGGGGAGGCGCCTACGCCGGCCGCCCGGCGCTGCGGCGCGCCGCTCCGGGACGCTCGGGCCCGCTGGCGGCCGCGGCGGGCGCGGGGCACGCGGGGGTCCCGGCCAGGCACCGCACCCCTCCCCGACACACACACACGCACACACACACACACCGACCGCCCCGGAGGAGTCAGATCCGGGAGCGTGGGGGAGGTGGGGATATCCGGTGTTTCTCCCGCTCCGGGAGGAAGGGGAGGGCGGGAGGATCCTTGGCCAGTCTGCACCGAGCGGATTCAAACCAAAACAAAAAAAGATTAAAGGAGCAGCGGCCCGGCCGGCAGCGGGCCACGGGCCGGACCCCGCGGGCAGCTGGCCCCGCGGCCGCGGAGGCTGCGCCGGAGTCGGGCGCCGCGCGCGGGGCTGGGGGCGGGGAGCCGGGCGTCGCGCGCGGGGGGGAGCAAGGGGAGGGCGCCGGCCGGAGGAGGGGCGGCCCCGCCTGCCCGCCCGCCCGCCCGCCCGCCCGGCGCCGAGCCCAGCGGCCCGCGCTGGCCGCCGCCCCCGCCAGCCGCGGCGCAGAGAGCGCTCGGGCCATGCTGCGGCTGGTTCGCGGGGTGCGAGCCATCGTGGACATGTCGTACGCCCGCCACTTTCTGGACTTCCAGGGCTCCGCCATCCCCAGGACCATGCAGAAGCTGGTGGCCACCCAGCTGAGCCCCAGCTTCCGGGAGGCCGTCACCCTGCTCCGGGACTGCCCGGTGCCGCTCCCTGGGGACGGAGACCTCCTCGTCCGGAACCGGTGAGCTCGGCGCGCCTCCCCCCCGCATCCCGCCCTTCCTCTGTCCGGCCCGGCCCGCGCCGTGCTGCTCCCGGCTGTCCCCGGCCTGCCCGCCTCCGGCGCACTCGGGCGCACACAGCCCGACTTGGCCAGATCCCCGCCAAGTTCAACCCGCCGCCATCTGGCGAAGGCGAGCGCCATGTGACTGTGACTGGTGTGAATATCCCCACGCCAGGGAAAGTCCTCACAAGCCAGGGTAATTTTAATTTGGGATTCCCCTCCCCTCCCCCAACCCTCCCTCCTCCCCCTCCTGCTCCCGAAATAAAACCGACGGGACCCAGGAGGGGAAGCTCCCCGCCCTGCCCACCCACGCGCACCCACGGTTCCTGCGTTGGCAATCTGTCGACTGGGTCAGGAGCCCTTGGGACCCAGGCTGTGACATTTAGGTAAACGTGCTTTGGTGGAAGAAGGCAAGGGACGTGGCTGGCCCCTCCCGGCCCCTCCAGCTTGGCCGCTGCCGCGTGGTGGCCGAAGCTCGGCTTGGGTGTGGGTGTGCTCGGCGGCGGGGCCGCCTGCCTGGTGTCAGGGCTGTTGTGTACTTGTTGTGTGTGTGTGTGTCTGCTGCCTGTCCTCTGGGTTTCCACAGTCGCGCAGAGCGCATCCTGGGCAGCTGGGCCAAGGCCAGGGTTGGGACACAGCTGCCTTTGCCTCGTGTTTTCGGGCGGTCCGGTGGTCGGGTGTTTGCTCGCTTGACCTTACGATGGTCTTTTGCACCACCACAAGCCCGGCTTGGTGCATTCCCACCTCTCCAATCTGGGGCGGGTGTTGGAGCAACAGGAAGGAGCGACTTCTCTGGAGCCCTGCGCCCTATCGTCTGGACTCCTGGCTCCTGGTCTCGGTTCCGTGGGTTTCCTGCAGGCGCGACTGCTCAGTCCCATCTTCAGTGCTGCCCGAGAGGTAGCGGTAGCCGTTCGGGGCTCGGTTGTACACACCTTGTAAACTGCTGGAAAGGACTGTGTGTAGGTGCCCAGCCAGCACCCTGCCAGGGGCAGCAGCTCTAGGGTCCACTGGAGATAGCTGGCAGCCTTCAGACCAAACTGTAAAGTGGGAAGAAGCAGCTCGGGAGGGAAAACTTTGGGAAACCTGTTGGAAACTTGCCCATTGCACGTGAGGTGGGATTGAGCGGAGGCAGGGGCCAGGGGTGGGTGGGGGTAGGTTTGCCTTAAATGGAGGTGGAGGTGGAGAGGGGTGTGTGTCCTTGGCCGTGGAACCACGGGGCATTGCTTGATTTTGTGATGAAGGGCTGTGAGGCTGTCACCCTGCCAAGGTGGGGAGAAGGGCGAGTTTGTGTTTGCCTGGAGCGCCCCAGAAGGCCCTGTAGCCGGAGGCGCCTCGAGACCCAAAGCTTTCCAAACAAACTTGAGCAGGAGAATAGTTCTACCCGGGGCCCTTTTTTTTTTTCTCTGTCTGATCCAAGTGTACTATTGGCCATGAACACCAACGTAAATACACGCACAACCGCCGAAGAAGCCCCTTTCGGACCCGGTTTTGGGTGGGGAGAAGCAGACGCCCAGTCGGCAAACTGAGCTGCGTTATCCGTGCCGGAGGCTGGCTGCGGGCGGCTGCTCGCTGGCTGGCTGGAGTGCACCTGCATTTCCATTCAGCTTTCCAGCTCCCCTTCGCTTGCTGCTGCGGCAGGCGCCTTCCTTGTTCCTTCCCGCCCTCTGACGGGAATTCAGTGATCCTTGCACTGGGGCACACTCCGATTCTGAGCACCTTGGTTTGGGCTTTGGGTTGCTACAAGAGCCGAGCAATTTTTTTTTAATCGGTTCCTTCTGCGCCACAAATCCCTACACTAGAAACAGAATGCTCCTGTGTACAACTTGTCCTCCAAGTTCTGCTTGGATGGGAAACAGAAAGAGAGTGGAGCCTGCGACTGGAGAGTGGCACGGCTGGAAAACCTCCAGCGCCAAAGGCGGGCTGTCGGCAGATGAGGCATTCTGCGGGTTTTTTTGTTTTTTGTTTTTTGTTTTTTTTTTTTTTAGAAATACAGATTTAATAATTCGCTGAAGGTCTGTTCATTTTAATCCTAGACCAAAGTTCACTGTAAGCAGTGTTAATTATTAAAATGTTATGTAAACGCGTCTCGCGTTTATCATAACAAAATCTGCCCTGGAATGAGTGGCGGCGGCAGGAATTCGCTCGTGGGCAAAGGCGCTAGTTGTACTCTGCCGGGTTCTTCTGGCACACGCTGCCTCCCTCCATCCTAACAGCAAACGCGCGCGCGTTCTTCATTCACAAGAGGAAGGCTTCTAAGCCACACTTGGGATGCCCAAAGCCAGCATTTAGGCAAGGCCAGTCCGGAGCTGTGAAGCTGTGTCCCTGGGCTCACCTCTCCCTGCCCCCGAAGAGAAAGAAAGCGAGGAAGGCAGCTGGGGGAGTGTGTCCGTGCGCTCTGGTCACCTTTTTCGTAAGAGGGTGATAGATGATTTCGTTCCCGAGTATTTTCAATGATTTTCTGCTGCGGGTTAAGATAATGGAGCACAGAGTTTGCGGGGTTGAAGCGGGGGGGATGGGGAGACGGCGGTGATGAAGTGTTAGTTGCTCAGGACGAGGCAACAATATTTCTGCTGACTCTCCAGGCCCGAGGTCCTGAAGTCGTGGCTTTTCTCTTTCTTTTTTTCCCTCTCTTCTTGTTGTCCGGGCCCGGTCTGCGATTCCTCCCTGGTTGTTCAGGGCTGTTTGCTGCCTGAGCCCAGCCTGTTTGATTTTGGTTGTGCGCGGGAAGCGCTGCCGTTTGCAGGGTCCATCCCCTGGTGAAACGAGGTGGGGGCTCCTGGTACTCCTCTGTGTAAATAAACCGGCCCCCACTCCCACCCCCGCCCCGCCGCCGCAGGGACTGGGGGGCAGGTCCTCCGGCAGAAGCCCTCTTTTTCCCTGGAGTTCTTGGTCTGAGTGAGCCTCCCGTAGGTTCGCCAGCGACCTGCACTCGCAGGCACATATTTCCAGTTAGAAAGGGTTCCGGGGTGGTCTCCAGACACGCAGCTCTCTCCTCTGTCCCTCTGGGGCTCAAGCTCCAGACCTGTACCCCTAACCTCCGCGCCCACTGCTCTTGAACTTGCTTCCTGCGAGTGCAAGGCGCACGGGCTCCTGGCCCCAGTGCAGTCTCTTCGGAGCCAGGTAAGAGTGGAGGCGTGAGTCCTGGGTGGTGTGCAACTGCGACCTGAGCCAGAGAGGTCCTCGCACCCTGGCCCCTGGCGGAGCAGCCTCCTCCAACAGACCACTTGCGGGAAGGCGGGGCAGAGCTGGGGAGCCTAGGAGAGGCCAAGGTCAGAGTCTGGCCGCTGCCTGCGCCATGCTCCCGCCCTGCAAACGCTGACCAGCCCCTTGCAGAGCTCCGTGGCCAGCACCAGGACTAGGGCCTAGGGCTGGGGATGCCCCACAGATCCTGTGCCCGTCCTGGGAAACTGAGACTGGCAGACCTGGGAGATGGCCTTACCATTCCAGAATCAACCCCGCAGACTTAAGGCCAGAGGCATGGAAAGGCTGCAGAACAGCTCAGGTGGAGTCCTTGAACCAATCCAGAAAATGCCCCTGGATAACTTGGCTGGGCTGCGCTCCCCCAGCCATCGCCCCAGCACCTGCTCAGGGAGCAACCCTGGGGAGCTGTCCCTACTCACTGGAAGTGAGTGGCAACCCCCCCCCCGACCACCCCCCCCCCGCCCCGACCCCGGCGGCTGGCTCCCTGCCTGATACCAGCCACCACCAGGGAACCAGCTTGATGGGACAAGGGCATAGGAAGGGTTAACATGGGCCTTCGGGCCAGGGGATCAGACCAGCCCTGGCCAGGGCTCCCACCTGCAGCTGGCTCTAACAGGCTCCCTGGAAGCCAGGCCTTGGAAGACCAGGCCTTGAGAACCGTGTCAACTGAGAAAAGATGGCAGGCCTCCACCCTTTTCTAAAAATAGTCTCTGCAAGGCCAAGTGAGAAACCAGGGAAATGGCCTCTCCCTCCCGTGGTCAGGGGGGCCAGCTGTTTTGGGAGGCTGCGACTGCTGGCTTAGGAAGCGCTCTTGATCCCAAGGAGAGAGCCCCTTGGAAGGGGCGGATTGCACAGGGAGCACTCTGGGCCCTGGTGCAGCCTCACCTCTGCAGCCTTGGCTGGTAGAGCTAAACCCAAAGTGGGAGTAATCTACTTCACAGCCTTCCCCCAGCCCCCACGTGCCACTGTCTTAGGACCTTAGATGGGAAAATGGCGTTTTGAGGGGTCCCTCTTGGGCCATCTGTGCTCTGAGGGATGGGCGCTGAGGACGAGTTGCTGCTGGCCTGGTAGTGTGGGCCACTGCAGCAGCTCAAATAGAAAGGTCCGTCTGGTGCCCATCAGGCTCTGTCCTGTTTCCCGGCCCGCTTTGCTTTTCAACTGGAGAGGGCCTGAAGAGGTTGCCGGAGCCATAGCTCCACCCGGTCCCCTTTCTGCTCAGTCTATCAGCGTGCGTGGTTCAGGGTGGATGTGGCTCCATCCGAGAGCTCAGTCCCTGGAGGCACCCTCCCTGCTGGTCGTCCCGCCACCCCTGCAGCCACATGTAGCGGCCCTGACCTTCCACGGCATCAATCTTTAAGAATATCATTGTCATTGCTGTTATTATCTCAAGTGTTAAATTGTTGCCAGAATCAATACCAGCCTACTTCGGGGGGATATATTTTACCCCAGTGTTGTGCTTAACATCTTTGTTAAGAGGGCAATTAATTTCCAAGTCAGGGTTGCAGTGAAAGTATTTGATGAGACCTTCCTGACTTCTCTCACCGTTTCTCCTTCCGAAAGGGGACGGAAATGAAATAACTTTGTGGTACCAGACGACTGTGCAGCTGACGAGAAGCGAGTACGCCAAAACTCCAAGGCCAGATCCAGTCGGACCAGCACAGTTTCATTGCTCTTTCTCTTTTTCCCTATCAGAGCAGCAGGAGGAATGTTCTTTTGAGTTCTGTCAGACTGTGTCCGGCTCGCGCAGAGAATGAGGGCTTTGGGCAGGGGTATCTCAGCGGCTGTGTTTGTTTCCTTCCAGATTCGTGGGTGTAAATGCTTCCGACATCAACTACTCTGCCGGCCGCTACGACCCCTCTGTGCAACCTCCCTTCAACGTAGGCTTTGAGGGCCTCGGGGAGGTGGTGGCCCTAGGCCTGTCTGCCAGCACCAGCTTCGCGGTTGGCCAGCCCGTGGCTTACATGGCGCCAGGCTCGTTCGCTGAGTACACAGTGGTGCCCGCCAGCATGGCCACCGCAGTGCCTTCTGTGCGACCTGAATACCTCACCCTGCTGGTGAGCGGCGCCACCGCGTACATCAGCCTGAAGGAGCTGGGGGCCCTGTCCCCGGGGAAGAAAGTTTTGGTGACGGCAGCCGCAGGCGGCACAGGCCAGTTCGCGGTGCAGCTTGCGAAGAGGGCCCAGTGCCACGTGATTGGCACCTGTTCTTCGGACGAGAAGGCCTCCTTTCTGAGGTCCCTGGGCTGCGACCGGCCCATCAACTACAATGCTGAGCCCGTGGCCTCCGTCCTCAAGCGCGAGTACCCCACAGGAGTGGATGTGGTCTACGAGTCAGTCGGGGGAGCCCTGTTTGACGTGGCTGTGGGCGCCCTGGCCACCAAGGGCCGCTTGATTGTCATCGGTTTCATCTCCGGCTACCAGAGCCCCAGCGGCTTGGTGCCCGTAAAGAAGGCGGGGATGCTGCCGGTCACACTGCTCAGGAAGTCAGCCAGCATCCACGGCTTCTTCCTGAACCATTACCTCTCCCAGTTTCAGGCCTCCATGGGCCACCTGCTCAAGATGCTGGACAGCGGAGAGCTGGTCTGCAAGGTAGACCTAGGAGAACTGTCCCCGGGGGGCAGGTTTGTAGGCCTGGACTCGGTGTTCCGTGCGGTGGACTATATGTACCTGGGACGAAACTCCGGCAAGATTGTAGTCGAGCTGCCTCACTCTGTCCACAGTAAGTTATGAAAGTGCAGTGGAGGCCCAGAGCCGCGCGTACAGCAGGGCTGCGCACCTCGGTATACTCACATCATTGCATTTATACTTCATGATGGAAGTAAGATTTCTTAAACAAAAGTAAGGTGCCAATGAGTAATTTTCTCTTTCTCTCATTCCCCACCCGCTTCCCCTCCTCTCTTTTTGCTCCTTCTTTGGTTAAAAAAAAAAATGTGCTAATAAAACTTGCCTCGATGGCTAAGAGATAAAACGTTTACATTGAGTTCTTTACTCATGGACGATCTCATTCCAGATTTTATTGTTCCAGGGAGTGAATTAATTCCTGATGTCAGAGCTGATTGAAGTAGTATGTCGTTAGCCTGGATCGGTCCAGCATGTCCAGGATCAGTCCTGGAGTGGCTCGGGACTTCTCCTTTTTCAGGGAGTGTGCTCACAGGCAGTGCCCGAGGGGCAGAGCAGGCGGCAGCCATGGCCAAGCTCTGCCACGGCCAGGCTCTGTCCCGGCCAGGCTCTGCCCCGGCCAGGCTGTGCCACAGCCAGGCTCTGCCCCGGCCAGGCTGTGCCACGGCCAGGCTCTGCCCCGGCCAGGCTGTGCCACGGCCAGGCTCTGCCCCGGCCAGGCTCTGCCACGGCCAGGCTCTGCCACGGCCAGGCTCTGCCCCGGCCAGGCTCTGACACAGCCAGGCTCTGCCCCGGCCAGGCTCTGCCACAGCCAGGCTCTGCCCCGGCCAGGCTCTGCCCCGGCCAGGCTCTGACACAGTCTCGCTGCCTCCTTCCCTGGATGAATAAAAGTGTGAGACTCCCTCGCCTGCTATGTTGCTCTGTTGTTAAGAATTCAATTCCCTATGTGCAGGTGTAGTTTCCAGTGGTGGCCCGGAATCTGTGGCTTTTGCCTACCATCTTGCCGTGAACGCTCGTGGAGGATGGAAAATTTCCCCGTGGAGAGTGGGATTGTAGAAAGTCAACCACAACAATCAGGGGACTTGGCGAGATGAGCTGTGCGTGGGCTCTTGAAGCTCTGGGTGGGCCCAGGAGATGTCTGTGGCCACTGCGGGGTTGCTCTGCAGCAAACAGCACCCCGAGGGCTAGACTATGGAAGTGGACATTCCGTGCGCGGTGGTGGGGGCACAGGCAGCCTAGCTGGGGGCTCATTTCACTTCTCCACGTGGGCTCGTGGCTGACCTGCTGCTTCTGCCCCTGTCCGATGCCCCAAGCTGATGTTTGGGCTGACCTGTGCACCCACAGGCGACCCCCTGTGTCCCGAGGCCATAGCTGAGTTGAAATCCCACCGTGCCTTTCTGGCCGAGGGTGAGGCCTGGTGGATTTTTCTCCCCTGAGTTCAGCTCTCTGATGTGCTCAATAAATAGGCGTGCAATCAAAGGGGCTCCAGGAACTTGGGCGTGTGTTTAATTTTTCCTCCTCCCAACTGAGAAGCAGGGGACGACTCCTGCCGGAGAGCCCGTTAGTATCTATTTTACAAGATTTACTCATTTTCAGGTACCTAACGTCGCTGCTGGCATGCATGCACAACAATACAATTTATATGGTAAATGGAACCAAATAATGGCTTCACTGAATGTTATGGCTGCATTGAAGGGAATGTCACGGTAAATAGCTGCCAAATTATGGATCATGCCGGAGTGTCACAACTGCACTGCAGACAAATAGCACCAGAGGCTATTGCCACTGTGACGCCTCTGAGTTATGAAGAAGGGGAGCGGCCTGATGCGAGGCGCTTTGTGTCCTCATTATGGCGAAGGGTACTGGTGCGGGGGACAGGAAAGCGTCGTCCGACGTGGGGCTCCGTTATTAATCTGTCCCCTTCAGCCCTAACAGCTGTAGCACAAGGAAGAGCGGCCTGCCTCCCTTGGAGAGCCACAGACAAAGGGGTGGGGGAGCGCAGGAGGCCCGGGTTTTAAGAATGGAGCTGTGCCCAGGAAATGACTGGTAATGGGAAAACGCCGTAATAAAATAATCGAATCAAAGAATATTATTAAATTTAGCATAGTGTATGTCTGAGTGGCTCCGTGGCTTCTTTGCACAAGTAGATGTGAGAAATGCAGGCCCTAACGCACTTGGTGCCTGGGTGAGGACTTCGGCCGAAGGAGATTACCAGCTAAATTGCTTCTTCTAAACTGCACTGAGTCCCGGTTTCTTTCATTTTAATGGGAGGGTAATAAAGATGAAAGACCCACGTTTTAACTGATGGATCCCTTAAGCTACGGAATGGAAATTTATTATGTTTTGAGGGGAGTATACTAAATTCAGCTATGCAAAAATAAAACTCAAACACCCAGGTTTAAAATGAAATGGAATCTGAAGACCGTCTGTTCCCCAAACTGAAAACCCACGACGCACGCTGTTTCCATTTATTCTTAGAAAACAAGCATGAAAGATTCCGCCCATTCAGATAATGCCAAAAATATGTTTAAGCTTTTTTTTTTTTTTTTTTGCTTTGCTTTTTTTGAAAAATGATTTGTAAATTGAGGGTCATAGTTCAACGTCAGTTTCGTCTCCTGGGATTATTGTTCAAGCCCGGCCTCTAATGGGAGGTGAAATGACGCTGTGGTTTCAACACCTTTCTTCTGAACTGTATTACATATCACAAAAAGTACATCCATAATTCAAGGCCATTGTCAGTCTTTGTTTTAGAGAAGGGGCCAGGGCAGAACAATCGCAGCAGATGAAATATTCCTACCTTCTCAGGGTGGCCTTCCCTGCACGTTGGGCCTCGGGTCACCGGCGGGGCAGCGGGGGAAGGACCCTGCGTCTGGGGAAAACCAGGCCTGGGCTGTCCCTTCCCAGAGGCTAGTCCTTCCATGTGAAAAAATACCCACCGTGTAGTCCTGGCTCCCTGGGAGGGGGGCTTCTGCCGCCGACACAGCCTCAGCCTTTAAAAGGAAAACCACGCAAAGCAAGGAGGAGTTTGCAGGGAAACTCACAAGTTTTGCCCTTAAGCTCCAGAAATCGGTCTGTGCTCCTCTGAGCCGCCTCCGTAAGTGGTCGTTAGTACTGCATCCCGTATTTATCTAATGAAAGTGCAGTGACAAGTGGCTGCTTCTTATTAAAATAAAAACCCTGGGCCGTGGACTTGAGGAACCGGGCAGCTAATGAGGATGTAATATTCTCAGAACAGCATTCTTTCTGGGTTCCCCACCACAAGGTGCTGGAAACTTGACAAATGATATCATTTAAGACACATGCCTGCCTTGGGGACCTGTTTTTTTGGCTTCCTGTTTCTGGCTTTTATTTGGGTAGCATTTATAATGACCACCCGACGGGTACCTGGCTAATGTTTTAACCCCTTCCTGGAGTCCTCAATTAGCATGAATTACTGCAGCCAGATTTTCCTTTCAAATGGAGTGGGGGTGCTAGGTACAGGAATATTCCTGATGACTTTACCACATGCACATGTGGGATAAATGCCATATTTTAGATTCTGGGAGATCAGGCGAGCAATGTGCAGCTATCGGAGTGAATGCGGTGAGAAGCAGCCAACCTTACGAAGCCTGGATCATTTGCTAGGGTCTCGCGTTGGGAACACAGCCCAGGGCAGCCACCTGGCTGCAGGCCTTCTCTACTTCCCACACTCTTGAGCCACTAAATGTTTTGTTCTTTATGATACTTAAGACACGAAAATGCAAGATATAATTGTTATTTTTGCAGTTTGGGGGTCTTTTTATTTTGAACCAAATTTTTCTATAACTGATTTCCTAGTTTAGGCCCAGATTTAAATATTTAGGCTCATGTTTCAGCAGTCATCCTGCAAGGCTGAATTGCCCCTCAAGCAATGGGGACCTTGGGCACTTTGAATTCTCTGTTTACTAGTTCGTCAGCACCTGCTGGTCCTAGAACCTTAGTAGCTAGAACCTTATTAATGTTGCCTCCACACTCCTGGGCAGGTTAGGGGAAAATGATGCAAACTACACAAGCAGTGGTTTGCCAACTTGTATCCATCAGGTCAAGTAATTCTGGAAAGCAGAGTTGATATTCAGAGTCAAGTTAGCGCATTGTAATACTATGGGCTTGAATCTTCTGTAAGAGCAAAGCAGTTAACAAGACACAATAGCAGGATGTGAATGCCCAGCGTGGATCCTGTCCAGCCTGTGTCCTGTCCAGCGTGGATCCTGCCCAGTGTGGGTCCTGCCCAGCAAGTGTCCTTAACCGGGGCGGGCGGGGGTGGGGGCAGTTGGTGGAGCTGGACCTAGCCCTCGATATTTGCTCGAGCCCCGGGAGGCGTGGCTGAGCTCAGGAAGTGCGAGGGGGTCCTGCCGCCTGCCACAGGGTGGGCACACAGGGTGAGCACCGCAGAGGCCCGTTAGGGAAAGCCAATATGAGCTTTGCGTGTGCTGAGAGGCACTGAGCCCAAAGGCAGGGTTTGAACAGCCCCCCAAAGTCAGCATTTCCCTTGAACGGCACTCTCTGGCAGTGCCTTGCTGCCAACACAAAATTAAAATAATAAAGGAAACACACCCGCTGATGGGTGATGGTGTCCAACAGGAAAGATGAGTTTGTGCTTGGGGGCCCAGCTGAGTGCTCCCCCACACCCTCAGCTGCTGGCAAGCCTTAACCTCCATACCCTACAGCTGAGCAGGAGCAGGGTCTGGCCCCAGCGACAGCTTTGTCGGGCCATGGATGACAGAGGGCGTGCCCCAAGAGTGGTACTTGGCCCTGTGCATCCTCCATGTGTCCCAACTCTAAGGATCCTCGCCCGTGAGTGCAGGAGGTGCAAATGGGAAAGAGTCTGGGAGAAGGCCCATTGAGTGGGGACCCACTCGACAGATGTAGAAGCTGGGGCCAGAAAGAGTGGGGGCTTTGTCCGAGGCCATGGAGTGTACTGGGACACAGGCCTCCCTGTGGCTCCCTGGAGCTGTCAGCCAGGTCCTGGGTGTGTCTAGCTCTGCTGGGACAAGCAGATGGCAGATCCAGAACAAGAGCCTGTTGCAATCCTGACTATAAAGTGTGCTCAGCTCTCATCCCACACTCGTTTTCAGATGGTGTGATTCTGTGCCATGTAAATACTGCACTGAAAACCAGTGAATCAGAGGCTGAGCACCCACAAGTCATGGCCACAGCACCGGGAGTATAAGGAGGGTGTCCTTGCCCGCCAGTGTGGGCTCGTCTGGCAGATAAACAGGTGCAGAGCGCCTCGGTGCCATACTGATCTCACCTGCTCGCGCCCGCCTGTCCCGAGCTGGAGGCAGCCAACCACAAGCATGCAAGCATGGGTGGCTCAG